ACCCTCCATGATACATATGATGTTTCAATTTGATAACTCTTAGGCAAAAAATAAAAATTTGTTTGTTTCCACTTCCCGACCCATAAAAATAAGGTTGGGTAGGTAGGTAGGTTATAGCACGGACTTTAATTGACATTTAAATCCGTGGTTATAGGTAGGTACATGAAGGACTTTTTTTTATATGTGCATAATAATATAATTCCTTGGCAAAATAGTTATTTACTGAACAAAGTTGGATTAACTTTCAGAACTGATATGTTTGTGGCGATTATCTGGCAAACTTGTTTTTATAGAAAAGTTTCTGGTGAACTTTCAGCGAATAATTTTTTTGATAGAAAGATTCTGGCAATCTCTGGCAAATTAGTTTTCCACTGAAAGTTTCTGGCAAACTTTTGGCGAACTACTTAATATTCTGGTGAATTCGCCGCAAAGTCGCCAAATGTTTGCCACAGAGTTGCCACTAGTGGCGATATCTGGCAAACACTTGACACAGTGTTTTGGCGAACTAAAAGGTTTGCAGCAAATTTGCGGCAAAGTTGCGGCGAGTTTGCGGCAAACCTTTCCTTTTGGTACGGGAAGTCTTCAGGTGCCCAAATCTCCAACACAGTGATCTCCCCTTACAGGATTGCTGACCGTAGCGTAACCAGTGCGCGGAGTTTGCAGGTGCCCCTCTGAGCATTATCTCGGGGCACCTAGCTGTAACCATGTCAACTGTTGGAACTCCGCTTGGCGGGAAATCTTTTAATTTACACCGTCTTGTTATTAATCAAACACGGTGGGGCTAATTGAAATATCAATGTTGTTTGCGATATTATAGACAATAAAATGTAGTTCTATAAAAGTATAACAGAATAAGATTTTTCGGGAAAGTCAAATTTATAGAGTATACATGTATATGACTATTTTATTTTAAAATAAATGAAATCCATGTCTTATATCGGCTATCTCGTATGTTGACTTATAAAAAGCATTGGGTTTGAAATGATATGTTTAAAATGGCCTTATAACACTGCACGTTTGTAACGTCGCTTTTCATTGGATAATAGGGAAGTTTATATAGTTTAATACACAAGGCTGCTGTCAATTAAGGAGGAAATTCATATTGTTTCTATAAAAAAGACGTTTGTTGTACTATAAAGTTGTTATAAAGATTATAGCGGCTTGGGATATATATACAAACAACTGTTTATAGGGACATACAAACTGTAAAAATTCTTTGTAAATAATGTGATTGTTTTATTGGGTTTTACGTCACACCGGCACAGTATAGGTCATATGGCGAAGTTCCAGCTTTAGTGGTGGATGAGGACCTCAGGTGCCCTTCCGTGCATTATTTCAGGCACGAACGGGTACCTGAGAAGAACCACCGACGTTCCATAAACTAACTGGATAGCATCCTCACATGAAAGAATTCAAAGTCTTTGTCGGGATTCGAACACACAGCGGTGAGGGACAAGTGGTTTGAAATCAACGACCTTTGAAACTAATAATAAACAGTTAAACTTCCTTTGCTCGAACTCGGTTCGCTCGAATACCTCTCTTTGCTCGAACACACCGACCAGTCCCGACAAAGGGACGATGCTTGACTGTATGTGCAGAGACTCACAATGACCATCATGGTGCAATAACCGGCTTACACATTTAATCTCTTCATAGTCTTTAGGGACTTTGGATAAAATCATAAGACTTTAGTAAAAAATTGTATTCCTCAACAATCATGATTCGTTTATAGAGTTAATGTTAAGTTGATGTTGAGGGGCAGACACCTAAACCACTAGGCCACTCGATCATTAATATTATATTTTCACCACAAAGGGTGTGCAATTATTCATGAGTCACTTTTATTCATCAACTTTACGTTTCCTGGAAACTTTAATCAAGTCCCCATGGTAAAGCATTCTTCGATTTTCGATGCAGATTTTACAAAAACATGTATATAAAGTCAACACAATACTTTTGTTGACACTTAAATTCGTCAACATGCACAAGTTTGGAAGTAACGGACAGAGTAATAAACGGTAGCACCGATGTTTACCAGGCGTTTAATATTCCTTATGCCAAAGTTGCCACTAGTCATCAGGGTGGGTGTAGTTAAACTTGGTACTAACATGTACATTATTCAATTACCTATTAACCCAACCCCACCACCCCTTTTGTTTAAACTTTGTGTTAAATTTCATGCGAACGACAGTTCAGTACGATTGATAACGCAGAGGATACCATTTTATTGTCACAGACAATGACATTTAATTGAATGCGTGATTGATGTAATCCACGTCAAATACATAATTGGATTAATGTTTGAGTGTTCTCCATTATATGAATTATGATCGGCAATTAGAATAGCAATTATAAAGATAAATCATAAAACTTTTTCTAGCATAAAAATGATGCTTGCTGTATTATCAATTCGTTGACAGGTTATATGACCGTATATAAACGATTGTTTGGAAATAACCAGAGCCATTAGACAAGGGTAATATTGCAAACAACAGTTTATACATACGGCCATATAACCTGTCAAAAATATTTATAACGAATTTATAATACAACAAGAATCATTTTTTAAGCGAGAAAAGTGAAATTTCTTCATAAATTGACAGCAGCAGTGTCTATCAAACTATATAAACATCGCAATTATCCAATGAAAAGTGACCTTACAAACCTGCAGTATTGTAAAATTATAATACAATAACCATTTATGAAATCATTCTAAAGCGTAAACTCTGGTATCCTTCATCGTCGGATACCCACGGCCGAACCATTAACATTTGATTGCATGTTATGTGACATGTTTATCAATTGTGGGTATCCGACGATGGGTATCCTTATTCTCACAAAAATTATTTTGTTTATCTTATCAAATATTTCATCTTTTTTTCTTTTTTTTCGGAGGGGGTGGTGATGGTATTATGAAGCCTGAAAATAATACAGTTTAAGCCATATGCATGGCAACTTTGCAGCTTTACTGGGCTCCTTGCCATTGGTTCTTGTTGCTGGGTCATGTGGGGGTGGCGTTCATTGAACGCCGCCTTTCCTTGTTGATCTTGTTCATCATATTTTTTACTAGTGGAGGAAAGCCCAACGTGTCCCTATGTTAATTATTTCAGGCATAAACGGGCACCTGAGTAGAACCACCATCATTCCATTACCTAAATGGATACCTTTCTCACCAAAAATAATGAAATGTTGTATAAGCAAAATGAAAGCAAACTCTATTTTTAGCACTGGTGACCTTGACCCAAGTGGGCCCCAAATTCCATCCAGAGGTAGAAGACCATCAAAGGTATATTCTTACCAAATATGTAAGTCATCAGTCCAGAGTCGCTATAAAAATCTATTTTTAGCACTGGTGACTTTGACCTTGACCCCAGCGACCCTAAACTCCACAAAAAGTAAGAGTTGCTAGGAGAAACTGTTGGAAAAGCTTGATGGAACTACAAAAGTAAAGAAGATAAAGCAGAACCTATATCCTCAAAGAAATTTTTCTGGGAGCATACAAATAAAACAACAATGTGACTTCAGTGGTTATCTCTATTGTAAAAGACCAGATCAAAAACATGCATAACAAAAATCTTTAACAATCAAAGTAAAAGCTGCTAATTATAATGTCTATAAATGGTCTATTTTATGCCCCTTAAATCTATAATTAACTGTAAATTAAATTGCATCTAATTCTGAGTGGGACCCATTATCAGAAAGTATTTTACAGATACAAGAAGTTAATTCTGTAACTCAAATTTTGTTATGGTTTTATATCATAGATATGATTCTCAAATAAGATTTATCAATATTGTAAGTTCTAAGAAGCATTATTTGTAAAGATATTACCGAATTTACATTTCATGTAAATAAAGGGAGGTAATTAGAAATTTTATGTTTGATTAAGTCTAAGCCAAATTTTTCAATAAGAAATGATTGCATATATTTAAATGATTTCTTATAATGGGTATAAACATTTGCTGTACATATTTAACATATTCTTGGATGTTTAGAAATTGTTTTAGAAGAATAATTATATGCATATTTAAAATTTCAATTAAGTGTTGTTACATCCTTAATTACAACATACAGGATCTTTAACTCTCCATTTGTCTAAATGCACAACAATGCTAGTTATTACTCAATAATGTGGGATGTTAACTCTCCCATGTCAAATACTGGTGAAAGGGTACATGTGCATTATTTCAGGTACAAACAGGCACATGATGAGAACTCTTCTCTATATTACATGCACAGTATATGTGTTTGGTTTAAAGCTGCACAACTCCAGATGAGCAAAATTATTTCAAGAAATTCCATTTTTAGAAAAATGTATTAAGATCTTTAGAAAAGTAAAAAGATTCAATATTTAATTAATTATTTACATGTTATTTGCGATTAATGACTGATTTTGCAGTATCAATCACTAAAATTCTACTGCGTTACTAATGCAGTAAGAGGTATTTATGTATATTTTGACCTCCATTTACGTGGATTGTAAGTGCTGTTTGCAATGTGTAGATTTCTTTTTTTGTTCACATAACAATATTTTACTTTTAAATACATTTTCAAAAATTTCTGGAAAATTAACAGGAATCTGGATGCATGCTGCTTTAATTTAAATCTTAAAGGGACTTCACCAACGTTTTTTGACACAACAGCACTGGAAATAATTTTTCAAGATTAATGTCCCATTTAATGCAGATATAGACCAATAACTTGTGTGCAGTATTTCAGATCATTCGCTCACTCTGTTTTTCAAGAATAATTATTCTTATTGTGAAAATGACCCATAATTGAACGCTTTTCAAACAAATCTGACTAAGAATAGCACAAAAATTAGTATTTCAGACCAAATAAATTTTCACCATGCTGGATTTGCATCCTTAATTAATTGACTTGTAGATCAATGACTCTGCTAGAAAATCTGCGTAAAAAATGCTTTACTGATTACATATAATCTTCCTCCATCAAAGTAACACCTGACTTTTCCCACGTGACAATAAATGATCAACAATATCAACTCTTTCGATAAGTTTCGCACTTTTAGTCTCGCTCTTTTTACCCACGAGAAAATGTCTCAAAAACAGTCGTAGCCCCTCGTTGAGGTGTTTAAGTTTGTCAATTTGAGCTATACGTGTAAATGCTGCCTCTACCTCAGACTGTGACTGTTCTAATAAGAGATCCATCATTAATTGTTTCAATAAACGCACCATTCCTTTCTCTAAAGTTCCGAACGAAACTACCTGTAATTAAAAAACAAAGAAGAATGTGACAGATATAAAGGATAGCTGAATATTGTGACAGTATGAAAGCAACATGAACAGACGATCCACACCCCCCTCCAAAACACACACACATACACTTCACCCCCACCACATCCCAGCTCCCTTAATGCAGCATGCTTACAGATTGGATTTAACTCACTACAGTGTTGAAGCAGTACCTGTAGGCTTGCAGAAATCATGATCACAAAGTAGAAAAATATCTCATTTTTCACCTATCCTTATAGTTTTCATTCATTTTTGTACATAAATCTTAGAGAAAAGATGTAAAGTGCAATTTGGCAGGTGAAAAGGCACGATTTTAGCATTTAATCATTCAAGCGCCTTGACCGGTATATATCAGAATATAGAATTAAATGTGGTACTCCATCACTTTTTTAGTCTCACTCCTCCAGATTCATGCTAGTTTTCAGGAATTTTTTTTAATGTATTGAAAAGTAAAATATTGTGAAGTGAACAAAGATATTGATTTACTCATTGAAAATGACACTAACAATCCACATAAATTACGGAAAAGGACAAAATATGCAAGAATAGTCCTTGCTGTGTTAATAACAATGTAGACATATAGTTATAGATACTACAAAGTCAGGTATTCATACCACATACCATAAAAAATATTAATTGAATCTGGAATCGTTTTACCTTTCTTAAAATCTTTCTACATTTTTCTCAAGTTTGATTCTTGGAATATTTTAGTTTATCTCAAGGCATGCACCTTTAACGAGGGCATTAAAAAGAGAGTGAGAATATATCCGAGAATAGCCTGTCCACATATCTCAATCGGTTAGAGTTTGAGATGTGTAATCTCGACATTGTGGGTTTGATTCCCGGACTGGCTAACTAAAGTTACTGATGAGACTCTATATAAATGTCCCATGTATAAGTGCGTTAGCACTTTACACCTTAAAGAACCAGGAGAGGCTTCTCAAATTGTGTCATCTTTCTGTATCTGTATCTTGCACTATCCTCCAAATCCTAAGATGACTAATACTCTTCTGGAGGTCTTGCGCCCCAATGGGGTAAAACCGATGGCAGTATAAATCTCAAATGCCAAAAACCCCCTCTTAGGAATAGCCCCTACATCATTTCAAATTTGCTATGTTACCTAATATGTTCAGGGTTCCCTATTTCCACTATTCCTTATAGAAAAATTTCAGAAACTAATAAGACTATTAAGAGGGTAACACATGACAACATCCAACACTTTTAAAATTTCATTTAAATCTTACTAGTTTTAGGTATTCAAACATCCAAACGTGAACGCCCAAAATCAAACACTTTTTTCAAGCACATCCTTCCACTTTTAAGCACAATTTGTAATGAATGATAAATTAAAGTAATAAGTTTTCTTCAACCCAAAAGCATATATGCAGCAAAATGAATCACTTTTTAAGTAAAGCACTTTTCAAGAAAGTAATCAAATTCAAGGATTTTTTTTTCAGCACTGTTTTACTTTTTTTAAGCACTTTTTAAGACTGTAAGAACCTAATGAACAACCCCTTTTCCCTTTTTTATACAGAAAGAAGTAATACAAAGTACATTTACAAATTGTATAACATAATAAAAAGGGCAATAACTCTTAAAAGATTTCTCACTATATACAGAAACAGTTACTTACCTTTAATATTGACAATGACTGTGCTTTATTTACGATAAGATGGATGAGGTTTGGATAAATTATTTCTGTTGTGTTCCGAGAGACCCCCGATCTCCTTAAACTTGTCCCATATACAAAACTGGAACGCCATCTGTGAAATAACAACATTTAAAATTAAAGCCAGCCTGCCTCCAGATTTATGCTGAATAATTAAGTGTTTTCATAATAGCCATGTTATTGGACTGAAGACATATTAGCCTGAGGCCAAAGGCGACTTCAAAATGGCGACTTTTTTCAATGAAAAAAAAGCATTTTATATAATGGCCGAGCTGGAGAGCCAATCCAAATTCTCCAATCTCATAATAGCCAAGTTTTCTCATAAAGGTTGTAGTTTTTGCATAATGACCTTGTTTTATGTTCATAATGAACGATGAACCTCATTTGAAGTGAAAACATGCCTAATATTGAAAAATTAATTAATAATGCCTGATAAGTTCTATGATAATTTGTAATACCTGATAAGTTCTATGATAATCACAGAATTTCTGGGCCAGGTACGAGTAGAATGGATTATATTTCTTCTCTTGTAGACAGCAGTCCATGATAACGAGAATTATCTCTTGTCTCTGACTCGACTTCAGTCCAAGCTGTATCAACTTCTCAAACGCATCCAGATAGTCCTAGAAATACAATTTCATATAGAATGTATTACGTACCACTTTTAAGATGTTTTCGTAAGTTTTGCCATAGTCATATAGGCAGAATAGACTTACTTTGGGTTTTTCCCAGCTAAAGGGGAGGGGGGTTACAAACAAACCTTTACAGTTACAGCCTTTCGAAATTGAGCGCAACATGTTGACTTATCTATTGTGACCGAAGCTATAACAATAAAAGTTTGTTTGTATCGGGGTATTAGCATGGAAAAACCCACATTTGCCCAGTTCCGGAAAACATCTATTAAAATTGTTCTGTAGAACTTCTTTCAACTTAGCATGTTATTAGAATATGATAATAGAAACATTTTAAGCGAAAATGTCTGGGGTCAAAGTTCTTGTTTAAGATGATTTACTGGTGGGATAGACAAATGAACCAAAACAAGAGCTACCAGTAGAACAGTGTGCCCGACTATTGTCAGAGACTGATAGTCAAACAAGAGCCTTGACAACATAGAATTTTCTAAGTTAAAAAATGGGCCATTATTCTGTCAAAATTAATGTTATGGACCTTAGACAGTGACCTCCTATTATACTTTCAAGTAAGTGTGTGAAGTTTCAACTCATTCGCTGCAGTAGTTTTGGAGATACAAACTTGCACATGAAACATTAATCAGTGTGACGCAATGCCAGGGCTCTCCCTATCTGTTGATTTGTCCAGCTAACAAAATGCCAAAACAACAATCCTCCACTTCTCAGAATGGAAAAGATTATAATATTTTACCTCACTTGTCATTATAACAAAGAAGATATTTCTGCGTATATCTATGTTCATTCTCTGTTTTCTAGCTAACTCCTGAAGTTTACTGCTAACCTCTAGCTTTCCTACAATTGTGCTCATCTTGTCGGAAACTGAAAATTCATTGTCAATGGTCTTTTTGGTAAAAATATCCAGAACATAAATGCATTAAAATGACCAATTGGAACGCTTCAACAATAGTTCATAACAATCTCTGACTAACAACCTAGTGAAAGTAGTTCTACAATGTGGTTTTAAAATTATTTCAGAAATGAACTAAAGTTTTTTGCACAGCAATGAGGACAACAAATAATTATAGCTTGACTTTTTCTTCAAAACAGATAAGCTAAAAATGAAACAATTTCTCATAATTATCTACTACACAAACTTATCTCCAACGTTTAGAGGGGTTAAACCCCTCTTTTTCAAGGAGTTTCTGTTCATTTTTATAAATCACATATTTATCTTCTTACATGTCTTATCTTACACTATGTTATGTATCAATTACAAATCTTCTTTTCAAATTCAAACTTTGGGCTTGATCAGATAGTATGAATGTAATCCAAAGGAAACTGAATGACTCAAGTATACAAAATTGAACAAAAGTACAACTGATGAAGAACTTTACCTTGATTATGATGCTGTATCTGTTTACCATCCCAGGCTGACCCGACCAGCCACCATTTTCCTTTTTCCTCTGCGTTCAGTAGATCCTCCAGTGAAATATGTAACTGATTATCCCCAAACTGACCACCTGTTCAAAAAATAGATAGCAGATTTAAAGGGAGCCAAGTACATTAACAAGCTGTATATACCTGTGCTTTAATGATTTTGAAAAAAATATCTAGTATAAAAGATGTGACTTTGCTTCACTTTATGGTGATCCATATCCATATCAAGAAGTCATAACTTTATTTTTGGTTTGGTCTTACGTCACACTCACATATTAGTAGTCATATTGTGACTTTCCAGCTTTATATTACTGGTGGCGGAAGATCTCAGGTGCATTATTTCAGGCACAAACAGGCACCAGAGTAGCACCACTGAAGTTCAATAGGCTACTGAATATCTTTCTCACATGAAAGAATTTGAAGGCCCTTTGGGAGATTCGAACTCACAGCTGTGAGGGGCAACTGGTTTGAAGTCAAAAGTCTTAACCACTCGGCCTTGGACACCCAAATACATAACTTAAAACTGTAGGAAAATAATCAAAAGACGGTATTCGAAAACATTCAAAAAGGGTATGCACTAACAACATAAGATGCACAAGATTCATGTATAATTTACCTCTAATGTAAGTTTTGATGAGCTTTCTAAGATGATCGAGATGTTCCGGGTCATAGTTTGGTATTTTCCGCATGTTGTTATTTCGTATCGCCATTATCACCTCCAACATAAACCGGACACGAGACTGATCATTGAGCTTGGCCGCGTCCGGACTTCCGGCACGAGTCTGTACACTGATGATAAACTCTTTCAATGGGACTGTCCTTGCATAAGGAATACCCAACATCTGAATATAAGATTACACAGAAAATAAATTAACATACTTGTCACTGAAGTGAGGTAATGAGAGTAAACTCCTATAAAATCAATACCAGTTGACCTGTTTCTGCACTAATGTCACAATTTATGAAGACATCTGAAAACAATTTACAATTGACAAGAATTTGTTATAAAACCCATTTTTAAACCTGTTTTACTTCCAAAAATAATCATGTTGAAAAATCCAAAGGGCCTGGTTCTGCTAAAGTAAACGAATTCTCTCTTAATACTGCATTTTATTAATATGAAAAGATAATATCAGGACACAGTTTCAAAACTCTGAGAACGATAAAAAATAATTGGTTTATTCAGTATTAAAACTTGAATGATGATAAACAATGGGTTTTATACAGTATTTAACTTGGTGGAAGATAAACAATGGTATTATACATACATGTGAACTTTTTACGATGATAAAGTGGGAGATTTTTCTTCAAAAAGAGGGAGATTTTAGAATTTGTAATAAACAAAAAGAAATTTCTTACATCAAAAAGAGGGAGATTTCTATCATTTGTGAAAAAAACACCTTGTTTTAAGAACAATCTTTGAAAATAGTAATAATAATGAAGGTAAACAAAAACTTGGACAATGGGTTTTATACAGTATTAAACTTGGAGGAAATTAAACATTGGGTTTTGTACAGTATTAAACTTGGAGGAAATTAAACAATGGGTTTTATACAGTATTAAACTTGGAGGAAATTAAACAATGGGTTTTAAACAGTATTAAACTTGGGGGAAATTAAACAATGGGTTTTATACAGTATTAAACTTGGAGGAAATTAAACAATGGATTTTAAACAGTATTAAACTTGGAGGAAATTAAACAATGGGTTTTATACAGTATTAAACTTGGAGGAAATTAAACAATGGGTTTTATACAGTATTAAACTTGGAGGAAATTAAACAATGGGTTTTAAACAGTATTAAACTTGGAGGAAATTAAACAATGCGTTTTATACAGTATTAAACTTGGAGGAAATTAAACAATGCGTTTTTATACAGTATTTAAACTTGGAGGAAATTAAACAATGGGTTTTAATACAGTATTAAAACTTGGAGGAAATTAAACAATGGGTTTTATACAGTATTAAACTTGGAGGAAATTAAACAATGGGTTTTAAACAGTATTAAACTTGTGAGGAAATTAAACAATGGGTTTTATACAGTATTAAACTTGGAGGAAATTAAAAACAATGTATTTTAAACAGTATTAAACTTGGAGAAAGATAAACAATGGATGTTAAACAGTATTAAACTTTGAGGAAGATAAACAATGGATTTTATACAGTATTAAACTTGAAGGAAGATAAACAATGGTTTTTATACAGTATTAAACTTGGAGGAAATTTAACAATGGGTTTTAAACAGTATTAAACTTGGAGGAAATTAAACAATGGGTTTTAAACAGTATTAAACTTGGAGGAAGATAAACAATGCATTTTAAACAGAATTAAACTTGGAGGAAGATAAACAATGGGTCTTATACAGTATTAAACTTGGATGAAGTTAAACAATGGGTCTTATACAGTATTAAACTTGGAAGAAAATGAACAATGAGTTTTGTACTATTATCTGAATGACCGATGTGCAGTTATAACCATAACACTGTTTAATATTTATAAGTTTATTCTATTTACTTGAGCATATGTTTTACATGTTAAAGCATTCTATCAAACAGAGAGACAAATCTACACTGAGTTAAACCCACGTGACTAGAGAGTATATCATATAACACAATAAGTTTTATACAGAATTAAATTTGGATGAAGATAAAACAATGAGTTTTATACAGTATTAAACTCCGAGGATGATAAACAATGGTTTTATACTCACGTCTTAGCAGCAGTTGAATTATCTCAATATCTCTTTCATGAAAACTCTCTGTTAATTTCTTCAAGATGTCAAATATAAGTACACTATGAACCTGTAAAATAACATTATTAATTGGTTAAATTTTGTGATTTTGACTCTCGCCATTCATAACGACACCGCAGATTTAAAAAAACGCAGAAAATTAAGCCTTTCTTTTTGTATATGTTGAAATATTTCAACTACCCGAATAGTATAAATTCAATACCATATGTAGTTATCCGCTTTTGTAGATAGAATTTGTTCTTCATGTATCCGTCATGAACAAAATATTTAAAAAAATAGTTTGCTTATTCTTTTTGTTGAAAAAAGTAATTACATGTATCATGTTTGTATGATTTTCACTAACCCAAAGCTTGATGGTTTTTTTTGTGAATAGTTTAAAAATAAAACTATAATTATAGTTTGACAGGTGATGCAAAAATGACCCTTGTTTGTTATTTTCATTTAAACCTGCTATAAATATACCTTTTATGTATTTGTACAAAATATTAAGTTGACGTGCGATTTTGCCATTGTTTATTTTCACACTTCATATTTATACAATTACAGTATTAACATTTGTCATTGCATGTTATTTTCTTGTTCGTTTTTTAAGGTGCATATACCGATACATATTGATTACGACGAAACACATTATCAGTCGTGGATGTAATGTAACATCATCAAATCTTGAAATGTTGTCTTTTTTATCGGTTAATTTTGTACAAATATCTTAGTTAAAACACAGAAATAAAACTCACCAATACGATATTGATCACACCACAGAAATACAATACACAGAAATTTAAAACCCCTTATTTTAACAAAAATCGCAGAATATTAAGCCCTCAGAAATAAGTACTTATACGGTACATTTTATTTGGAGTTTAAAAGTGTTTTAATCTCCACACCCAAAATGTCTGTGACGAGATGATGTTTCATGCCAAATATTTAAGCCATAGCTCTTTCGGTTTTCTAAAAGAGGATATTTTAAGTTTTTTCTTTCGGTTGCCATGGCAACCAGAGTTCTGCTTGGAATTAAATTATTTGATCAATATTTAAAATTGACTACGAAAGGAACATTCCTGTGAAGTTTGGATGAAATTGGCTTAGCGGTTTATGAGGATATGTCGTTTAAAGTAAAAATTTACAGACAGCCGGACGCCGGACGAAAAGCGATCACAAAAGCTCACCATCTCACTTTGTGACAGGTGAGCTAAAAAGACTGCCCCACTATTTATAAGAATTTCACATTTTCGATACATTCTAAAAGATATTTATAGACATTTTCATTGGTCAACTGGATTACAGATTATTTTTCCAACGTAAAATCTAAACTTGAACACATTTATAATAAAATGCCAAGCTATTTTGATTTTTACCGGTTCACCTAACATTTACCAATGGATGGGCATAATGTCCCTTTAATGATATGGTATGGCTTATTAACTACATGAAACCAACCTTCTAATTCCTCCAGTTCTTTAGGTTTGGTCCACCTGGATTCCTTGGTGACAGAGTTATGATAGTAAACCTTCCCTGTATCTGATTTATATTCTTTCCATGGACATTTTGCCAGTAACATCTACATGAAAAATGTTAATAAAGTTATCATTTATATTTTTATCAAAATATATATTTAGAAAAAAAAAATCAAATAATAGTGCATTGTTGTATGCACAGATACAAGTTCTGGAATATAATCGTGAAGGCTGATAGGTCTGAGTGATAAAAACAAAGCATTATTATACTCTAATGCAAGAAAAATTAACATATATTTCCATTCTAACATGCTAAGAAAAAAATAAATAGTATTGAAAACAAGAACGTGTTTGTTAAACACAAATGTCCCCGGCTCAGATTCTTGTCAGTAGCAATACTTCATAAATGTTTACCAATTCACTCAGTTATGGACAGAAAAATCACCAAAAAATTGTAAACACAAGTTTTATAGCTTGACAAAGTCATGGCATTTTGTAATTATGAAAAATATAAGTTGCCAAGTCATTGCTCTGACTTGTGAAGTTGAAAAATATTCAACTTCATGCAAGTTATTCTTCCTACCAAATACGAAATACGTCTGTCATTAAAAATAAAGGCTGTATGGGGCAAAAGTGTAAAAATCTATTTTGAGCACTGGTAACCTTGACCAAACTGACCCCTAACTCTATCCAAAAGAAGAATACCATGTAAGTTATCTACCTACCAAATATGAAATACATCTGTCAATAAATAAAGGCTGTATGGGCAAAAGTGTAAAAATCTATTTTTAGCACTTGTGACCTTGACCCAACTGACCCCTTACTCCATCCAAAGGAAGAATACCATGCAAGTTATCTTCCTACCAAATATGAAATACAACTGTCAATAAATAAAAGCTGTATGGGCAAAAGTGTAAGAATCTATTTTTAGCACAAGTGACCTAGACCCACTGATCCCTACCCCAATCAAAAGGATGAATATCATGCAAGTTATCTTCCTACCAAATATAAAATATATCTGTCATTTAATAAAAGCTGTATGAGCAAATGTGAAAAAATCTATTTTTAGCACTGGTGACCTTGACCCAACTGACCACTAACTCCATCAAAGTTTATGTTTCTATCAATTATAAATAACATCTGTCTATAGAATAAGGTCAATACACCTGTAAAAATGTAAAAATCTATTTTTAACATTGGTGACCTTGACATTGGTAACATTGACCTTGACCCAAATGACCCCATACTACACCCAAAGAAGGAGGTGTTTGTATTAAACTAAGACATTAACTAAAAAATAAAGGCTGTATGAGCAAAAAGGTTTATATTTATTTTTTAAACCAGTGACCTTGACCCTAGAGACCGCAAACTCTAAAAAAAATTAGAGGACCATGTTAAAAACAATGACACCCCTGGGGCCGGGCCAGTTTTGGCCCCAGGGCTTTTATTTGAACAAACTTTGTAGACACTTACTAGAAGATGGTTCATGCTTAATATCTTAACTCTAGCTATTTGGCTTTTTTCAAAAAGATTTTAAGTTTTTGCTATACACATATAAAGAAAATCAATGACCCCTGGGGCGGGGCCAATTTTGACCCCAGGGCTTTTATTTGAACAAACTTTGTAGACACTCACTAAAAGATGTTTCATGCTTAATATCTTAACTCTAGCTATTTGGGTTTTTTCAAAGAAGATTTTTTAAGTTTTTGCTATACACATATAAGGAAAATCAATGACCCCCTGGGCGGTGCCAATTTTGACCCCAGGACTTGTATTTGAACAAACTTGGTAGACACCTATTAGAACATGTTTGATGCTAAATATCTTAGCCATAGCTCTTTGAGTTCTTTAAATGAAGATTTTTTAAGTTTTTACTATATGCATATAGGGAAAATCAATGATTCCCCGGGGCGGGGCCAATTTTGACCCCAGGGCTTTTATTTGAACAAACTTGGTAGACACTTATTAGAACATGTTTCATGCTAAATATCTTAGCTCTAACTCTTTTGGTTCTTTTAAAGAAGATTTTTTAAAGTTTTTACTATATGCATATAGGGAAAATCAATGACCCCCCGGGGCGGGGCCAATTTTGACCCCAGGGCTTTTATTTGAACAAACTTGGTAGACATCCATTAGAACATGTTTCATGCTAAATATCTTAGCTCTAGCTCTTTGGGTTCTTTAAAAGAAGATTGTTTAAGTTTTAACTATATGCATATAGGGAAAATCAATGACCCCCCGGGGCGGGGCCAAATTTGACCCCAGGGCTTTTATTTGAACAAACTTGGTAGACATCCATTAGAACATGTTTCATGCTAAATATCTTAGCTCTAGCTCTTTGGGTTCTTTAAAAGAAGATTTTTTAAGTTTTTACTATATGCATATAGGGAAAATCAATGACCCCCCGGGGCGGAGCCAATGTTGACCCCAGGGCTTTTATTTGAACAAACTTGGTAGACACTCACTAGAAGATGTTTCATGCCAAATATCTAAGCTCTTGCTCTTATGGTTTTTTAAAAGAAGATATTTAAAGTTTTTTCTTTCGGTTGCCATGGCAACCAGAGTTCTGCATGGAATCAAATTCTTTGAACAATTTTTAAAGGTGACCACCAAAGGAACATTCCTGTGAAGTTTGGATGAAATTGGCCAAGTGGTTTATGAGGAGATGTCATTTAAAGTAAAAGTTTACGGACGGACGACGGACGGACGCCGGACAAAAAAGCGACCACAAAAGCTCACCCTGTCACTTTGTGACAGGTGAGCTAAAAATAGTCCAAATTTTTTTAACGAAAATACATGTAATAAACATCCAGTGTCACATAGCTTCAAATTTGACCAATGAAAATTGATGTTACTATGCTTACCTCTGTCTCAGTCTGTAAGTCTTTTGGCTTCTCCCAGCTCGACTGCTTGGTTACATTGTTATAGTAATAAGTTCTTCCATCTGGGGCTTTATGTTCAGTCCATGGTGACTTCTAGCACGAATGAAAAAGTTAAAATTAACAATTACTGTTGATTAAATTAAAAACAAAACTTCAAAAATTAATTTACAACATAATACATTTTATTAAATCATGCCAAGGAACATAATTTGGTTAATGTTTCTATGTGTGTGTTGTTGTTTTTAACCTGAGCACAATTAGAACTAACCTTCACTACAAGTGATTTGTTTTCCTATATTTTACAGCCAAATAAAGGCTTTTTTCCTAGCCCAAAATAGGTATATGTTTTCCCCTAAAATGTCCTGTGCACATTCTTCACCAGAACCAGCTGACTTACATCAGCTAGTTGATAAATCTAACTGACTGACATCATCTGTCTCTATATATAGCCTCTGCTATGTACAATACATGTTAAATTAAATTTGAAAATTTTATAAAATGTGTAGGTTATTTCCATTCTCAATTGTTGGAATTTAATTTCAGATTCCCCCTGCCCTTTTTCTGATTTATCGTGCTATATTTTCACCTTCAGAAAGCCACACTGACAGGTTGATTTGAAAAATGAAAAAAAAATCACTGACTATATTTTATAGTTTTGACACTGGTCATTAGCCTCTTTTATTTAAAGATCAAATCAAAAGTAACTAAGAATGTTATACATATGTTCGTGGAGATAAGTAATATGTTACCTTTTCTGTTTTTTGATCAACCTGTCCCGGTGAGCTGGATGCAGCATCATTTACCTGTTGTACGCTAGCAACCATTAGAATACCTGGCCCTACAATAAGTTAATATAGTAAATTACATGTTGTACGCTAGCAACCATTGGATAACCTGGCCCTACAATAAGTGAATATAGTAAATTACATGTTGTACGCTAGCAATCATTGGATTTAACCTGGCCATACAATAAGTTAATATAGTAAATTACATGTTGTACTCTAGCAACCATTGGTTTACCTGGCCCTTCAATAAGTTAATATACTAAATTACATGTTGTACTCTAGCAACCATTGGATTACCTGGCCCTACAATAAGTTAATATAGTAAATTACATGTTGTACACTAGCAACCATTGGATTACCTGACCCTACAATAAGTTAATATAGTAAATTACATGTTGTACGCTAGCAACCATTGGATTACCTGGCCCTACAATAAGTTAATATAGTAAATTACATGTTGTACACTAGCAACCATAGGATTACCTGCCCTACATAAGTTAATATAGTAAATTACATGTTGTACGCTAGCAACCATTGGATTACCTGGCCCTACAATAAGTTAATATAGTAAAATTACATGTTGACACTAGCAACCATAGGATTACCGGGGCCCTACAATAAGTTAATATAGTAAATTACATGTTGTACTCTAGCAACCATTGGTTTTACCTGGCCCTTCAATAAGTAAATATACTAAATTACATGTTGTACTCTAGCAACCATTGGATACCTGGCCCTACAATAAGTTAATATAGTAAATTACATGTTGTACACTAGCAACCATTGGATTACCTGGCCCTACAATAAGTTTAATATAGTAAATTACATGTTGTACTCTAGCAACCATTGGATTACCTGGCCCTACAATAAGTTAATATAGTAAATTACATGTTGTACACTAGAAACCATAGGATTACCTGGCCCTACAATAAGTTAATAAAGTAAATTACATGTTGTACGCTAGCAACCATTGATTACCTGGCCCTACAATAAGTTAAATATAGTAAATTACATGTTGTACACTAGCAACCATAGGATTACTGGGTCCTACAATAAGTTAATATAGTAAATTACATGTTGTACGCTAGCAACCATTGGATTACCTGGCCCTATAATAAGTTAATATAGTAAATTACATGTTGTACGCTAGCAACCATTGGATTACCTGGCCCTACAATAAGTTTAATATACTAAATTACATGTTGTACACTAGCAACCATAGGATTACTGGGTCTACAATAAGTTAATATAGTAAATTACATGTTGTACGCTAGCAACCATTGGATTACCTGGCCCTACAATAAGTTAATATAGTAAATTACATGTTGTACACTAGCAACCATTGATTACCTGGCCCTACAATAAGTTAATATAGTAAATTACATGTTGTACGCTAGCAGCCATTAGATTACCGGGCCCTACAATAAGTTAATATAGTAAATTACATGTTGTACGCTAGCAATCATTGGTTTACCTGGCCCTACAACAAGTTAATATAGTAAATTACATGTTGTACGCTAGCAACCATTGGATTACCTGGCCCTATAATAAGTTAATATAGTAAATTACATGTTGTACGCTAGCAGCCATTAGATTACCGGGGCCCTACAATAAGTTAATATAGTAATTACATGTTGTACACTAGCAACCATAGGATTACCTGGCCCTACAATAAGTTAATATAGTAAATTACATGTTGTACGCTAGCAACCATTAGATTCGTGACCTGGCCCTACAATAAGTTTAAAATACTAAATTACATGTTGTACGCTAGCAGCCATTAGATTACCGGGCCCTACAATAAGTTAATATAGTAAATTACATGTTGTACACTAGCAACCATAGGATTACCTGGCTCTACAATAAGTTAATATAGTAAATTACATGTTGTAAGCTAGCAGCCGTAGGATTACCTGGCCCTGCAAAAAGTTAATATAGTAAATTACATGCTGTACGCAAAAAACCATTGGATTACCTGGCCCTACAGTAAGTTAATATAGTAAATAACATGCTGTACGCTAGCAACCATTGGATAACCTATCCCTACAATTAGTTAATATACTAAATTACATGTTGTACGCTAGCAACCATAGGATTACCTAGCACTACAATAAGTTAATATACTAAATTACATGTTGTACACTAGCAACCATCGGATTTCCTGGCCCTACAATAAGTTAATATAGTAAATTACATGTTGTATGCTAGCAACCATAGGATTACCTGGCCTACAATAAGTTAATATAGTAAATTACATGTTGTACGCTAGCAACCATAGGATTACCTGGCCCTACAATAAGTTAATATAGTAAATTACATGTTGTACACTAGCAACCATAGGATTACCTGGCCCTACAATACGTTAATCTTTTAAATTACATGTTGTACGCTAGTAACCATAGGATTACCTGGCCCTACAATAAGTTAATCTTTTAAATTACATGTTGTACACTAGCAACCATAGGATTACCTGGCCCTACAATAAGTTAATCTTTTAAATTACATGTAGTATGCTAGCAACCATAGGATTACCTGGCCCTACAATAAGTTACTCTTTTAAATTACATGTTGTACGCTAGCAACCATAGGATTACCTAACCCTACAATAAGTTAATATATAGAGGATATTGAATGAGTGTAAGTTCAATACTGAATTTATTGCACGAGTTGAATAAAATTATATTATGCGAGCCTCTGGCGAGCATAATATTATTTTATTCAACGAGTGCAATAAATTCAGTAACGAACTTACACAAATTTAATATTCTATTTATCACATACCAAAAATAAAGACCATTTAAAGTGAAATAAGAGTCATTTTACATTGACGCGCCTATAGTATAACGCTAACATTTAGCGCATCTTTACACTATGTTTGTATAACGCTAATGACGTCACGTCAAAATATATGCACGGCCGTGCAAAACCTACGGAGTCGCAAATCAGGTGTGTGATAAACTTAATTTCATGTTGTACGCTATCAACCATAGGATTACCTGGCCCTACAATAAATTAATATAGTAAATTGCATGTTGTATTTTTTTCTGGTTACTTTACAATTTGTCATACAATTTTTCAAATTTAAAAGCAAAGATTAACAATAAAATTTAATAAGCTTTATATCTCAAATTTTCTTTGTTAATATTTTCTTTTGTAACATAAAACATTTAAAGTTTGCAAAGTATGTTTTCTTGTTTTGCTGATTTTTAACACATTTTTGATCAAATCTTGATAGTCTGTCAATGTTACCAGATTTCCTGTATAACTGACTAGTACATACATGTACAAATTACTCCACTAGAAACACAACAGTTGAACACGATAATATCCAACACTATATGTCTTTAATCACAAATCTGTTGATAACTATGAAAGTGTTGGTGTAAAAATTTTTGAAAATGTAAGAAATATGTAAATAGAGTATAGATTTTACCTGGAAAAGGTGGCATGCCAATACCTGGTGGTGGCATCATAGGTGGAAATCCTCCTGCACTAAAACCTATAAAATAACAATTGCATTTCAACTATGGTCATACTCATAATTCATTACATCCATAGTTTAGTTTTATACCTATATTTAAGATATGCTATGCTCATCCTTGAGTATAATACTTAGACACAGAATTTAATTGAAATCTGAGAAATTCTTACTGAATATGTCTTTTTTGAATATAAAACTGAATGAACTGTGTATGGGAAGTTGTGTTCCTTATTCTTTAAAAAAACTGCCAGTTTTTAAATGACACCATATACTCATAATGTGACCACCTATACAGAGTAGAATTTTAAACACCACATTTCTACTTAACGTGAATTCAAAACATGTTAATTTTATATTTACAAAGAGACTGTGTAGTAATGATCAATATTTTCTTATATCAAATTTTAGCATAGTATGTCTTTAATAATATTTAGATTACTATTTCCATGCCATGGTATAGTAAAACAAGAGCTGTCGGTAGGACAGCACGCTCGACTATTCTTAGTGCTTGATAGTAAAGGAGCCTTGATAATGTTAAATTTTTTAAGTTCACAAAAGGGCTATTTTTTTTTATAAATTCATGTTATAGGCCTTAGAGAGAGTCTAATTATACAGTATTGGCTTGACTATTCGGAAGGTAATGTCACAAGGGTGTTTTATTGAGTATAATAATACTAATTACCTATGAATACATAAATTTGACTGAAAAGGTACAAAGGCATGTTATTAAGATGTTTTATCAAGTAAATCACTGATTTATTATATTATTATGAATGCATAAAAGTGTCCCAAAAAAGGCACATACCCTTCAGTAGTTATTGAGATAACAGCTTACAAGCAAAACCCTACCATGAATTTCTAAGTTGAAAAGGGGAGAAAAATCAGCCTAAATGCAAGATAGAATTATGGATCTTTGTCAGTGACCTACCATTATGACCCTAAATGCATATGTGAAGTTTTAAATAAATATCTTTAATAGTTATTGAGATATGTAAAACTTGCATGTAAACATTAACCAAGAGACTAAGTGGAAAAGGGGATATGAATCAGCCTTTATGCAAGATAGAGTTATGGAACTTGGTCAGTGACATACAATTATGACCCTCCAATTATGACCCTAAGTGCATGTGTAAAGTTTCAAGTAAATAACTTTGAAGACCTTTAACTTTTAACCAAAATTTCTAAGTTTCAAAGGGGCAAATAATTCTGCAAATATTGCAGGCAGAGTTATGCAATTTTGCAAACTGATGTACATTGTTACTATAAAAAAGTATTTTAAATTTCAATTGAATATCTCAAGCAATAATTGAGATATTTGACTTTACAAAAAAAACAAAAATTCTAAGTTCCAAAGGGGCATAATTCTGTCAATATTGTAGACAGAGTTATCCAACTTGTCAATCTGATGAACCTTGTTACTATAAATAAGTATTGTAAGTTTCAATTGAATATCTCAAGCAATAATTGAGATATTTGACTTTACAAAAACTTTAACCAAAATTTCTAAGTTAAAAAGGAGCATAATTCTGTCAATATTGTAGGCAGAGTTATCCAACTTGTCAATCTGATGTACCTTGATACTATAAATAAGTATTGTAAGTTTCAATTGAATATCTCAAGCAATAATTGAGATATTTGACTTTACAAAAAACTTTAACCAAAATTTCTAAGTTAAAAAGGGGCATAATTCTGTCAATATTGTAGGCAGAGTTATCCATCTTGTCAATCTGATGTACCTTGTTACTATAAATAAGTATTGTAAGTTTCAATTGATTATCTCAAGTAATAATTGAGATATTTGACTTTACAAAAAACTTTAACCAACGCAGACGCCAACGCGGACGCTGACGCCGACGCCGGGGCGACTACAATAGCTCTCATATTCTTCGAATAGTCGAGCTAAAAACTAATAGTACTGTATCATTTATCAATTATAATATACTTTATATAAATCATAACTAATCAAGTATTGCTACAGTCAACACTAATTATCTCAACATCACTTAACTCAATCTTTCTTTATCTTGATCAAATTTTGAAAGTTCTAATTTTCTCCAGTCTATTATTTTATACTAATACTATAAACCTTTGTTTGGTTTAAACATACATTTTGTGTTTATCTAAGCCCAATTTCTTGTAACTTATATAAATCATTTTCTTGTCCGCTTCCAGAAGCCAACCAGAACTGGTGTCATATGAAAAAAAAGGGTTGTGACCCAATTAGGGCTTGAACCCATGATCCCTGGATTGAGAGGCAGACACCTTAATCACTAGGCCACCACTCCCCTTGCTTACATGGACTTATATAATTTAAATATTCAAAAAGGTATAATTTTGATAGTCAAAGACCTCTTATGAAAGATTTCATGCAACTAATACAGCTATATACATGTATAAGGGCTATCCGAAGAGTTCCTAGACAAGGCTATAAAATTATTATAAGCAGTCATATCAATATGATGATTGAATATTTTGCTGCTATATATTTCTAAATTAAAAAACATGATAAAAGTTATATTCGCAAAGTGCCGATCACCATGGCAACATGATCAACACATCACGGAGCACTTTGATTTCATGATGATAGCTACTCAAATAATAAGTTGCTAAAAGTTGTAATTTTAACGCAATCTCTCGTTTTAATTTTGTGACATCATAGGATACTATTACATGATATCTAGTGTAAATAATGACGTCATACGTAAATAAACAGCTTGTTAACAGCGATTATAGGCAATGATGGTGCGTAAATTTTGTGTTGCAAAAATGATGTCAAAATTTACGGACAAAGCAACGTTACGATATTTAACTTCATAGCAACGCCGAATATGGCGCCAACTGAGATTTTAATATTTACTTTAAAAACAAAATCAACCATAAAATGTTAAAGGCAACTTGTGTTTAAATGTCAAACAAGATTAAGAAGCGGTGATGACAGAATTAGGTATAAGAGCGCTCCAGACGACCAAAAGTAGCATGGCCGAAATATTGTAGATTGCGTTACAACATTTTTTGAAAAAGGCAGACATCTCACACACAGTATGGGAACCAGTGAAATCTTTATTTTTAAATTATAATTTTAAATATGAAATTCATGAAGTAATAGCAAAGGAACATAACATGTATTAAGTATACGTCAGACAGGTACCATGGCTGTTGAAATCGGAAGAAATTAAATAGTTGGTAAACATGAATTTAATTTGACGCCGTTGACGTTGTCAAAGTGCTCCATGATTATGTATATATGTTGTATGTAAATACTTTTAAAATACAAACGTAAGTCACAGTTCAGTAATATTTGATAAATGTGTTCGCTAGATATGTATATTTATGCTGACAAAATTTGTACAGCGAACGTATTGTTTTACAATAAAAAATGAAAATGTATATGAACTTTTCGGACACCCCTCGTATTATCATCATATCTAAATTAGGAATATAAAAACAGCTTACCAGGAGGGGCTGTTGGTGGCATCATAGGAGGCACAGCTCCATCAGCTGGCCCCGGGGGCGGTATAAATCCCGGGGGACCTGCCATCTGTAAATTTTATATACTTTTCTTTACTTCAAGACAATGTCTGATCAATATGATGACATATCTAACATCAAAAGATGTTAAAAATATTTCAAATCATAATTTTTTAACATTTTATTAAGCTGAAATTTTAAAAGACAGGCGAGGAAATATTTTTAAAAAGAATAAACCTGTACAAGTTGCATTAAACATTTCTATAAGTAATGGTAGTAAATTTGTTTCAAATGCAAATTCTATAGTTACATATTATACTAAGATCCTCGAAATGACAACAAAATCAAATTCAAAGGCAAATAACTTGAAAATGTCAGAGCCTAAATATTTTTAACTCTTGGAAAATGTTTCTGTGTAAAATGTAGCATATATATGTCAATATACACCTTTTCCTCTGTTATTTATCATATCAACTGAAAAAGCTTTATAATGTGTAACATGCATTGATAAACAGTGTTGGTTCATGAATTATTTTATGACTCTTTTTATAATATATTGTTGCCTTAGTGCAAAAAGTGATTAACTCCTATAATTAAATTTAGAAGAACTTATGCCGTTATAGCACTAAGGTAAAGATATGTCAATATGTAATTAATAGGCTAGCATATGCCTGTAACATTTTTAATCCTGCTTAAATGTAAAGAAATATGTTACACTTAAAACAGGGGAGAGAGACAGGCATGAAAATATTTTCAGAGTCAAAAGAAGCTTCTTAATTCAATGTGCAAGTAACATTTTTCTACTTGTCCTGTTCTCTTAAATTCTACTCATAATTACAAGTGGAAGGTGGAATTTTCTGAAAGCTCATAAAAGATAAATGTAATAAATAACAGGGGGAGAGAACTCCTAAATGTAACTTACTGGAAATGGAGCTGGTGGTCTCATCATCGGAGGTGGCCCTGATCCTCCACCACTGTTCTAAATAAATGATAGAAATATCATTATCAATCAGTGTTCAATCTAGAATAAATTCCCAGGGGGAGGGGAGGCATAAACTTATCAAAAGGGGGTCATTTGAGAAAAAAGGGGGCCCACTTAGAATGAACATAAAATTCAAATAAGGTATTATACCTTTTAACTTTGTTGTTCCCACAACTGATATAGTTAAGGGCCCATTTATATAATGCATTAGATATATGCTATCATTTTTATTCTCAAAACCTGTTTATTTCTTGTATCTTGTTATGGTATCCAAAAGCATACTCATTTACTATAAACATGAACTATCTTTTGTTTTGCATATTTAGTTCTGTTGGTATATTCTTGTGAATTAGTATTTTGTATGAAAAGTCAAAGTACTACTTTGTTTACATTTTGGTACCTTAAAGACACAGAGCTGCATGTTCAGGGCTACTTTTTCAGTGGCAAAACATCTAACATGCACCTAGACCACTTAATCCATTATCTAAACATCATTACACTGTCACACATGATTTATATTTCTTAAGAATTAAAAATATGCAGATTTCTGAGGCATAATGTGCCTTTAAAATACTGTACATGTACAGTATCATTGTAAAACATAATTCTATTGATAATATTCAAAATTTGAAATGGGATTCATTTAACAAACAAATTTATCACGATTTTTCTTACCCATTTTTAAGCAGAATGAAAATTGCATATTTTTTATTAATTCTATCATCATCGAAAATAAGCCAAGTTTTAAATTAATTATTTTTAAGCCATTTTGTTTGAAAATCCTTAAAATGAACATCAAGTAACTTAAATACCGTAAGGGTATTTTCTAAGCGAGTGTGTCCGTCTGGCCCACACTTGAATTTTGTTTTGCACCGACAGTCTTTTCAGGGGGTCAATGGCGCACATTACATAGTCAATTCCAATATTGAAGAAAAAAATAAGTAGATAATAACATGAAAGAAAAAAAATAATTTCTTCGTAGTATATACATGCATGGAAAATAATTTTGCAGAAATTTAAAAGTAAGACAGAATAGTTTGTAAGGGCAACTTTAAACTAAAAAATATCCACTGGTAGTAATTTAGACATTTCATCAAATAAATATCAAGATTGACAGTTTCCAAACTAGCAGACAACAGGCTTTTTTATCAGTAGGACTTGTGAGTAATGATAACCGGTTGCGTACTTCACTGTAAAATGGTCTTACTTGTGGTATGTTTAACCATAAATTTAAATACCTTCAGTGTCAAACCAGGGTTCAAACAGAATCATGTAGTCTTAATTTAAGCACTTTTCAAGGGCTTTTTCAAGACCAATTTTGCATTTTCAAGGACAATTTTCGCACATTGTTTCCTGCAATATTCAACTCAAAGCAAAGATTATAAAGATTTAATATCAATTATCATCATTTTTAATATACTTAAGCCACAACATTCTTTGAAAAATATATGTTGTTTAACAATTTGATGTAAATACTTTAACTTCTTAAATCAACGTTTGCTTTTATTACCTGCAGTTCAAGTTCTTCAATTTCACACACCCGTGCCGATTTTGTGACTCCGTAAATATGGTATTGCACGGCCGTGCATATATTTTGACGTGAGTTCATTAGCGTTATACAAACATAGTGTAAAGACGCGCTAAATGTTAGCGTTATACTATAGACGCGTCAATGAAAAATGACTCTTATTTCACTTTAAACGGTCTTAATATCGGGTATGTGATAAATAGAATATTGAATGAGTGTAAGTTCATTACTGAATTTATTGCACTCGTTGGATATAATATTATTATGCTCGCCAGAGGCTCGCATAATATAACTTTATTCAACTCGTGCAATAAATTCAGCAACTTACACTCATTCAATATCCTCTATTTAACATATACTTATTCAAATAAATTAATCATTTTTAAAGTGATCATTTTTGAAAGACTATTAATTATTATTATAGATTTGTATTACTAATTTCACGATTATAAGTTATTATAAGATATACCCGTTATGCAAATCTTTATTTTCCGTTGCGCCGAAGTTAAGTCCAATTCGCCGTGCATTTAGAATATTCTACCGTGTGACCAATACCAAATTTTTATATCATTTTTTAATAACTATTTTTTAGAGATAAAAAACAGTAGTTTTGACCGATGAATTTTTGCAACGATACATTGAATACTTATAATGAAAAAAAGATGTTTTATGTTGATTCTGCTGTTTCAAAATATGACTTTATTTAGAAAATATACTAACGCAAATTCAACAAGCAATTATCATAGTATTTCAAGCAATCCATAAGTCCCCTACCGGTTAGAACCCCAGCAACATTCTGATTTTAATTTTACCTGTGAATGAATGACATGAATGAACTTAAATCTTTTGAGTTCTAAGTTTGTCTATTTCATAGTAATGTGTTATTTAGTTTCCCTTCCTAGTAAGGAAATATTGTTTGTACAACCTAGTCATATTATTACGATGTGGGATTTTAAAGTAAATCCTATAAGGAATGAAGAAGTTGGAGTAAAAAATACCAATTTCTCGAAAAAAATCTAAGTTCAAGGAGGACATAATTCTGGAAATAGTCTTGCTAGAGTATTTAACCTTCTCAAAAATGATTATGTTGAGTGATAATAAGAAACATATATATGAAGTTTGTAGTAGATACATTAGAAAATAAAGAAGTTATTTAAAAAAGACAACATTTTTTTATAAAAATTCTAAGTTCAAGGGAGGTAATACTGATAATTTTTGTGCTAGAGTTGTAAACCTTGTCACATATGATGTGGTTGATGACCAGAAACTTATATTTAAAGTTTGAAGTAAACACCTTAAGTAATAAAGAACTTATAGTGAAAAAGCTGAAAAATTTAAATCAGAAATCTTGAAATCCAGACTATTTGTTGCCATTGCAACCAGAATTTTCAACATAGAAAGAAAAGAAAAAGATGTGCGTAATCTGCAGACTGTCATCTACCCATATTTTAAGTTTCATAAAAATATTTTTAGTACTTTTTGAGTTATCACTGGATACAGTTTATGTGTTAAATTTGCCATATTTTCAGACTATTTGTTGCCATAGCAACCAGAATTTTCAACATAGGAAGAAAAGAAAAAGACGTGCATAATCTCCATACTGCCATCTATCCATATATAAAGTTTTTGCGTTATCGCGGGATCCACTTTTGTGGACGGACGGACGGACTGACGGACGGACAGACAGACAGACGGACGGACGGACGGACGGACGGACAGACAGACAGACAGACAGACAGACGGAGGGTAAACCTAAAGTCCCCTCCGGTTAAACCGGTAGGGGACTAATAAAAAATTTCACTATTTGGTAGCTTTGAAAAAAAAAATCAATCTCCGTTGAACTAAAATTCATCGGCACAACGGAGATATGAACGGTATTACAATAAAACAATGCGTTTAATAAAGAAAACATTGCTTTTAGATTATTTTTATAGAAAACAAAATATTCATTTATTCATCACATACTAATGCATATTCATAAAAATCTTATTTCCAATAAGTATTTTTATTTGTAATATTTTTAAAATTTTGTTTCCGTTGCCCCTCCCGCAAATCTCCCATGGTTTGTATTTTAATTAAAGTACCGAGAATCTTTACAAGTTACCATTGCCAATCTTTTATAAAATATTCATCTAGAATCATCATGGACTAATTTTTTGTATAGACCTTGCTCTACATAAAAATAAGCTTATTTGATATGGTTAAGTCAGTTTTTATTTTTTGATAACTCAGGGTATTTCTATATGGGACACCGCTAGGGTAAGGGAACGCAGCCCTTTCATCATAAATTCACCTGGCTGCAATGAGAAGAAAAGTTGAAGTCTTAGCTATTAGATGATTTAAAATATGTTACCTTAGTCAGACGTTGCATCCCCATCATGTAGTCAAAATCGAATCCGTCGCCACTCACAGACCTGCAAGATCTACAGAGATAATCCATTTCTAGAGAAGACCACAACTTAAAGTCAATGTTAGAAAATTTTCTTCACACTTTTGGTGAAAAACCTCGCGGGCCACATTGCCCACAATTATGCGTTAGAAACCTTGCAAAACTCTTTGGAACAAATCACCAAGGAAAACCTAGCGAACGCCTTACAGAATGTTCAACTAATATTTCAAAACTAGCAAAAATGAGTAGATTTGAATTGAATGGAACCGATTCATGGATTCTTCCATTCTTTAGTATACCAGTTAATGAATCATATGCCATAATTAAATTTTCACATAATACACAGACTTTTAAAACTTAAAAAACAAATGTCATGATTACCTGTCAGGTACTGCAATTCGAAGGTGTGAAGGGGCAGTAACACAGTTCTATACACAAATTCAGCAGCCTCTTATCAAAAGGTGTTTGATGTTGAAGGTATGGAGCAAAAATTGACAGGTGACACAGCCACCATGCAATATATACTTGATATGAAGAAAAAAACACAACAAAAATATCTGAACTTAAACAATTTACTTAGTTTTACAATACCATTCCAATAGCACGTGTGTACGTTGAATACATTGTGTGTTAATGTATGACCTAGTCACAATATTTCTCGGGGGCTTATTTAAAACATTTTACAGTATGAATGACCTATTTCTGATATATGCTTCTTAAGGACTGTATTCCCTTTTATGTTTGAAAATGTTCTCGTACTGTCTATCACTCAGCAAAAGTAAAATATGATATATGTGCATTATGAAATACGTGTTTTATATATTCAACTATAGTAAAGAAAATCTTAACTTTGGACCTAGCTCATATATAGATGTTCGGATCCTTTGACGTATATTTATATGCTGGATCCTAACCACCGTGGTCGACATATTATAAATTATATATATAATTTTTCTATTCTGTCTTATATACTTTCTTCTTATAATCTTTTTGATGTTTAACTCTATCAAGTTTTTCTGATGGTCGCTATTAAGCGTATACATGTAACAATTTCTCATAAAAATGCCACCAGTGGTGTTAATAAATATATATTCAGTTAGACATTTTTTAACTTTGGACCAACCCTTATGCTATTTATTATTTCGAAAATGTTTTGTTTCTTTATATATATTTATGAATATTTCAGCAATCAATAATGTTTTTTCCCCCAAATAATGTCTTGTTGACAATATTACATATAAAATAACAGTAGCAGTAGCAATATTTCAATTAATAATAGTTCTACATTTTTTAAAATTTGGTATTCTCGTATATATCAGAATTCTTTCTAGCTATATTAACTTACAAAAAATAGTTCATTTCATCTTGCAAATATAATCGGTAGATTATGTTTAAACAAATCTCTATTTCCGTCTTTTATTAGTGACAAAAACAAAAACGATGAGGTATTTTTTTCATATAAAATCTCGTGTTCAAATTATGATGATTCGTTCTTTCTATATAATATTTGTAACCACATGATGATATATAAAAGATATAATTTTTGCTTTTGAATTTCTCTTTCGGGAATCTTTTTGGGTACGATACCATATTAAAGATACAATGTCTATTTTTCTCTTCTGTGAAATATTGTTGAACATATATTGAAATAATTTTCATATTCGGTAGTCTCGTTCATTTCTGGTCACGATATTTGGGACCAGCGATTAAATTCATTTAATTTTATTCAAAGATATGATGCAGTAAATGGTAGTCTCTATCGACAAAACTTTTCCAACAAATTTCATATTGAGTTACTGTATATTTAAAATTCATATTCGGTATATTCGTGAACGAATATGAATTACATATCTCTATAAGGTGCGATAACTTGCAATTAACCTAGCAAATATAAATTGTCATCCATGTTTAATCAAGGTTTCTTTCTTTCAGACTTTTATTAGTAACCGAATAATTAACAATAGGGGTAAAAAAAAAAATAAAAGAAAAAACAACAACCTCGTATTCACATATACATGTATATACATGTATATATACTGTACGTCGTTCTGGCCGTGGTGACTAAATAAAGTTGAATAAAGCAAATATTAACATAACATATATAATTTTAACTTTTAACTTTCTTTTCTATACTTTTAGAAGATTATAAACAATAGGCCTAATGTTCATCTTCGTTATTCTTGTTAATATTCGGATAGGCCTACCGTTCTGGTCACAATATTTATAACAAATTAAAGTCAGATATAAATTTATTTTCTTTCATTCAAAGACATGATACAAGAAAATGATATTATATATTCTCTGTGGACGAAAAATATCCCAAAACAGCTGTTTTTTATGAACATAAAATTCATATTCGGTACTCCCGTTCATATTCGCGAACATGAATTCATATTCGCGAATATGAGTTCATATTCGGTATTTAGTCATACCGACTTAATTACCTAAGGCTCATACATACATTTCTTACTTACAATGCTTAGGTGGGGGGGAAAATCCCTGGAATTGCCTATACTATAGAAAAGCCGGGATCCGGGATCGTATTAAACATATAGTAACCTGGGAATTGATTACTTGTATATACATCTGTACTATATACCTTATGTTTTAGATTTGCATTCTCCTTTTTTTGAAATGTGAAAGCCTTCTGTTATATTATATCAACACATTGTTAGACACAAAAGGTATTCAAATTTACGGTTAAACCTACCACAAGTCAGACCATTTTACATATGTTATATACAGTGAGATACACAGCCAGTTATCTTTACTTGCATTTCTACTAATTAGAGTAGCCTGTCATCTGCTAGTTCGGAAACTGTCAATCAGTGTATTTTGTGAAGAAAGAAACACACAAACACAAAGCAAGTACTTAGCAAGTTAATAAATTGGCAATAAACATGACCTATATAAAGTTAACAATGAGTCGCGAAAGATATTTAACACAGAAATGTTCTTCATTTATACAGCATAGATTTTAATGTGACCACAAAGGATCGTTCGGATGATTTCAAAACATATCCGAGTACACGTCTACTCAAGACCGGTAAATAAATGTGCGCATATATATAAAACCTAAATTTGTTTTCAAAAAATATTTTACACATTTTTAGTCGTATTATTTATCATATATCTAACATTTAAACATGAGATTTTGATATCAATTTTTAGCAAAAATCACAATAATAACTAAAACTTGAACTTTGAACTTTTATTTTCAAATTCTAGGCCTCTGAGAGGCATCAGAACACAACATATTAAACATGAACAAATGACGTAATACAAATTTGCTATATAACATGAACAAATGACATGATACAAATTTGCTATGACTAGATAAACAGAAAATTATCATATCAGACTAAATTTGAGAAATATCAGACAAAATTTGAGCAATATCAGACACTGAGCCATTTCTAACACATAGGAAAATTTGCTATATAACATGAACAAATGACCTGATACAAATTTGCTATGACTAGATAAACAGAAAGTTATTCATATCAGACTAAATTTGAGCAATATCAGACAAATTTGAGCAATATCAGACACTGAGGCCATTTTCTAACACATAGGTGATAAAAATACATGTTAGCCTTAAGAAACATAATATTATACTACACAATACTATTTACTATCAAATGTATACATATATTACACAACCTCGTTTATCATTTGAAAACATGCATTACTTTCCTGCAATAAACAGCAAGTTTAACAAGCTCGTTTTTGTCTGTACTATTCATTAGCAATGAATATTTCAAAGTATTAGGATTACTAGTATATCTTACTGAAATATATTTACGACGCTCCTGCTTAAAAAAGTCACACACAAACAGGTAATGAAATTCATCCCCTAAAGAGTTTGTATTACATAAATGACATGTTCTTTCATCTCTCGGGATACCAAAGAATCTCCCTTTTCTATAGGTAATCTATGGTTCGTACATCTGAACTTTAAAATAGCATTAGACAAATGGTAAGGCAAAGTATCTAGATAATTTTCAAAAACAAAGGAATCTTTGTACATTCTGTAATTAAGGCTTTACTGGACTCAGCCACAAAACTATGCCATTGTTGTAAAATATTGATCTCTCAATCTAGTTTTAACAATGTTCTTGAACAATTGCTGTGAAGAAGGTATATTATACATCCAGTAATTTGACATGCCCAGAGAGTCCAATAAATTGTGTACATAATTGATCCAAGGTAGTTTTACATTGTTATCATCACTATACAACTTATAAGAAACATTATACAATATATGACATATTTTCTCAGGTTTAGCATTTAAAATTCTATTCCAGTAACATAAAATATGAGCCTTAAACATGAATAGACAAAGGTAGCACCCCTAGTTCACCATATAGCATACAATTAGGAGTGCTTTGTTTTAACCGAAGAATAAGTTTATAGAATTTTAACTGAAATTGATCTATCAAGTCTAAATTTTCAATTCCCCACACTTCACTTCCATATAACAAAATGGGTGCTACCATTGTATCAAACAAATGTATTTGCATACTAATAGGCAGGTTCAGCCTTCTTGACTTTACTATTACAGAGAACATTGCTTTTCTAGCTTGTTGTAACAAGTATTCTTTTGTTTTTAGTAAATTTACCATTATACGAAAACTTTACGCCAAGATATGAAAAAGAGTCGACTACTTCTAACATATTACCTTCAAAAATGAAATTAGGAGCATTACGAATACCACGTACATTTTTACAAAATACAACAATTTTAGTTTTTGCAGGATTAACTTGGAGACTCACATATTACAGTAACTACTCATTGCATCAAGTGCCTTTTGCAATTCATCTGCAGTTTCAGCAAAAATTACAGTGTCATCAGCATAAAGTAGTATGTACAATTTAAAATAAACCTCAACATCGAAGTTACTCAGAGTATCATTTACTACTGAAGATAATGAAACTAGACCATTATAATGTTGTGACAAAAACTGGTTTAAATCATTCAAAAACAAAGAAAATAGAACAGGCGAAAGATTTTCACCTTGCCTAACACCTGTATGACTTGTGAAAAAATCTGACATTTTACTAAAGGAGTTCACCACAATGATCGCGTTTTTACTCACCGCCATCTTGTCTAAATATTTAACGAATACCTTTTCAATTAAATTGTCATAATCTACTGTCAACATAATATAGTATGCAACACGGTTTTGTTTTATTGTGCTTCATTATTAGCATTCTGTAGCCAGGCTTTTATTAGACGAAAGCCCACAAACTCCCTACTGTAGGCTTTTATCTGTCAGATTAATTAAAGCAACTTGCCAGATTCATGTTAATTTTCATAAAAAAATTAAAATGTACGTAAAGCGGCAATTATAAAATACACGTAAATTACAAAAATGTTCAAAATATACAAAATATATAGCTCTTACAGCGTTAGTCACGCACTAGAAATGTGGTGTTAAATATCAGTCATCAATGGCATAATATAATTCACAAAGTGATGATAATTTACCTACATGCAATTTCTACGGAGCAATAATTAGCCAAAATTATGAATTTTGATACGTTTCATGATACTGACACCAATATTAAGACTAACATAATCTGGAACAGTTCACAGCATTAATCTTTTCCATAACTGAAGTATAAGAACAGAGCACAAATACAGTACGGGTAGATCTATCATTGTGAAACTATTGGGGGAAAAACAACAACAAAAACAACAACCTAATTTAAAAAACTTTATAGATTTCAACCATTCCTCTGTTTCCTATGTTGATCTAATATTCACATTTTTTTTATAAATCTGGGTTTTCCGGTTTTAGTTGTTGTTGGTTTTTGTTGTTGTTGTTGTTTTATTTGTTGTTGTTGTTGTTGATTTTGTTCGTTGTTGTTGTGGTTGTGAGTGTTGTTGTTTTACAAGAAACTGTTCATGAATGTTAACCGTATATTATCTAACAATGTAAAAAAATAAATGCTTTTGCCACACGCCCTCTAAGAATTTTATCTACAAAGTTGTAGATATATTAATAGTTCTACACAATCATATTATACATGATATAAAGCGATGCAGATGAAACACCCCCGGTGTTCAAAGCGAAAACGTGTCTAACAATATAATTTTCACATTGATATACTGATAAGAGGGTCATTTTAGTTTTAAGCTATATTTAAACGGTTCATGTGAATACAGATGCCATACACATATAAAACTGTTATAATAATTTACTACTTATTTAATTTTTAATTAATTTACTTCTTATGAAAAATATTAAATAGTTTAAAGTTTAAATTAATGCTTAGTTAACATATTATTTAATTAATAGCAGCGTTTTAATAGCTAAATATCATAACGTTTAAATGTTGATCTTTAAGAGTTGTTTTGACTGTTGATATTATTCATTGTTGAGTACAATACTGAATTCTGTTGGCTGTCAATCCTATATTGGATGAGCGGAGTCTTATATAGGTTTTGCAGCTTTGTACGAGTACTACAGATTCAGCATTGTACTTAACCATGTACATAATGAAGGACATATATACCATCAACCATCAACTTTTTAATACTTTGGGAGAACTTTGATAATTTGAGTACAATAAGGAATTGATATGATTTTTGTGGACTCTGAAAATGAAAACGAGGCTAAATGGAATACAATAGAAATTTGAAATGGATTTTTTGGACTCGGAAAAAAAAAGCTTGATAGAGTGCAATATCGATTTGATATGGGTTGTTTTGGACTGGCAAAACGAAGAAATGCTAATTTGAGAAGATTTTATCTAATAATTATTTGTATTGGGAGATTGGATTTCATTTTATAAGGTGTGAAATGAAAGTATCGGCCATATTCTCAATGTATTCTTGTGCATTTCAATAATAAGCTAACGTAGTAATTTAACGCTACAAAATGCGAAACACACTTTTATCAATAAAGATGAGACTACATTTGTCACCCAATTGACACGTGAATATTTCTGAACATTTTTGTGACGTGGTTATATGATTATAAAACAATGTCACGTTGCTTTTGTTTTTATGCATCCATAGTTATACATTTGTTTCGACTATAGTTAATTCAATTATAAGATCTATTTTCTTATTTTTCTTTATTTTATTATTTTGCACGGGTTTTTAAAACTTAATCAGGCACATTACTGCGTACATAGTGCACTGGAGAATTAAAACTATGAATCAGCTTTTTCACGCCAATTTCGATATTTCTTACACGAAATATGTCGACCTGGCACGTGTTATAGTGTATGCACATGTTACCTTATATTGTGTTTGCGTGACGTAACTTGGATACAAGATTATTTTTTATAAGTTCAGGCAATGACAGTACGTCAAAACAAATACACAATATAGTAACTATGTTAAAATAAAATAAAAGCAACAGTAAATTAAGAAGAGCATAGCAATATTTAAAATAAAATGAAAGATGAAAGATGAAAAGAATGATCTTCAGTGTTTGCCCTTAATTTCAATCAATTCAAATTTAACTTTGTTTCATTCCTCAGTTTATATCACAATGACGTCAGAAGGATCAATTGTTCCCTGCACGAGTTTCACGCGTTTGTTGTGAAGTGTATGAAAGCAGTTGGGATCTCAGAAGAATATGGATCATCCCTGGCTGATCTTCTGGTATCTGCAGAATACAGGGGCCACTACAGTCACGGCTTGAACAGACTGGGTGATTCTTGATTTTAACTTCACGAATTCACGATTTCAACGTCATGAATACACGATTTAAACTTCTCGAATTCACCTTTGATTTCAAATTCTCCAATTCACCTTCGTGAATTCACTATTTCAACTTCACGAATTCAAGATTTCAACTTCACGAAGTAAACTGCTGTTATCGTGAATTCTAGAAGCTGAATTTTGAAATTGTGAATTCGTAAAGTTTAAATCGTGAATTCATGAACTTTAAATCATGAATTCATGAAGTTGAAATCATGAATTCATGAAGGTGTATTCGAGAAGTTGAAATCGGGAATTCATGAAGTTAAAATCGTGACTTCGTGAATTAGAATTCGGGAAATTATTTATGAAGATGAAATCGGGAATTTCAAGTTGAAATGCCCCTACTGGTCCTTTCGTTACTTTCGCAAGGAGCTGATATCTTTTGTACATGCCAGAGGTGAGGTACATTGTGAATGACTGTAAAAAGTAAATAAATTGTATTGGTATCAATGGTGGGTCTAATTAACGTATAAATCGAAATATAAACAAGGAAAATAAACATAATAGTAAATTTATTTTGACTAATACTAACATTGAGATACATTATATTTGTAATACTAAGTTCATCATTTATAATACAAAAGATACATTACAATTGTAAAACAAAGTTCATCATTTATAATACAAAAGATGCATTACATTTGTAGTACAAAGTTCATCATTTATAATACAAAATATACATTACATTTGTAATACAAAGTGCATCATTTATAATACAAAAGATACATTACATTTGTAATACAAATTTCATCATCATTTATAAAACAAAAGATGCATCATATTTGTAATACAAAGTTCATCATTTATAACACAAAAGATACATTACATTTGTAATACAAAGTTCATCATTTATAATACAAAATATACATTACATTTGTAATACAAAATTCATCATTTATAATACAAAAGATACATTACATTTGTAATACAAATTTCATCATTTATAATACAAAAGATATATTACATTTGTAATACAAAGTTCATCATTTATAATACAAAAGATATATTACATTTGTAATACAAAGGTCATCATTTATAATACAAAAGATATATTACATTTGTAATAAAAAGTTCATCATTTATAATGCAAAAGATGCAGTACATTTGTAATACAAAGTTCATCATTTATAATACAAAAGATACATTAAAGTTGGAATAAAAATTTCATCATTTATAAGACAAAAGATACATACAAAAGACACATAACATTTTTCATACAAAGTTCATTATTCATCATACACTTTACACTCTACAAAGCTATACAATTTTTATTTTAAAACAAAACGCTATGTTGAAGGAAATATACATTTAGCACATTGATTTTTGTCAAATTCATGTACGTTGTACCGATAGATCTAAAAACTGGTCGCTTTGAATATATTGATGTATGTTAGAATAGCTGATTTCATTGTAATGGCAGAATTTTAGATGAGATACATGCTATCTTTGTTCATTGTATAGAAATGTTAGCAACTAGTAAATGGTTGCTGTGAATGTGGGAGAAAAATTTCAAAATATCATAAGATGTCATAAAAAAATAATCAGAATAATACACATTAATGAATTAATATGTAATATTGATGAATATTATTACTGTACATATTTCAGTAATAACGCGTTGATTTCCTCTGAATTCTTATTACATATATAAAGACAGACATTTTATTATTGAAGTGTAAAGTTGCATAATTTAAAAAAGTTTTCAACTTTTGATATTGTTATTTTCACTGATGACATATATATCGTGCTTTATTAATTGTAAAACATAATAATGTCAAAAATCAATGTCTTCAAAATGATATTTTAAACTTCTGTAGTTTTATCTCACCAGTACATGAGTTTGTTATTGCAAGAAATGATTTATCACGTGAGACACAAATTGTTCTTGGATAGTCCATATCTACGTTGTACGATGATAAGATCTGTCCAGTTTGTGATATCTGTACAATGGACTTTGTTCCTTTACTACAAACCAGGATAGTATCAGAGGGACCAACTGCTACACCACGCGGCTCATTTATCTGATCATCCTTCACCACGACTCTCGTGTTTGTCTTGACGTCATATATGTAGACAATATGCTCGTATCTATCGGTCAGCACCACTTTATCACTGCTCCTTATATAAGTACAAGCGCTTGTGTCTACAGGATATGACTTATTCGGAAAGTTAATATTGAAATCTTTCTCTTCTCCTGTAGATGATATAATACGAACAGGTGTTGAATGATCAATTGTCCCGCCGACAAAATGTTTATCATCTTTTTGACATATTGAGACATATTTTGTTGTCACTTTAATTGTTCTATCTAATTTTATGTCATTAGATTTGTTAACATGGAGAATGTTTAACTTTAAAGGAATGACACTTGTGACCGCTACTTCCTCATCACATACAGCAACAACGGATTGTGGCCGGTAAGATAACTGATATGATCCTACTTTCTCAAGCTTCTCATTGTAAACTAAGAATTTCTTGTTGTTATTATCAACAGCAACAAGTCTACCATCAGGTAAAAACTCAATCCCTCCATAAAATGGCTCTTCTACATCATCCTCTTTCTTCTTCAAATCAATGGACTTTATTGGTGTAAGTATCATTGCTTTGTTAACAGGAACTATAGTACTGGCTACCTCTGATAGACAGAATTTTAGAGTCAGCTGTCCTGGTATATAATCAGTTACTGACAGAGGAGGAAGTTTTAATGTTTCATCAAAATCAAAGCTTATAGTCACGGTCTCTAAATCATGACACTGTGCATCGACATTTGTGTGAAGAACATTGACGTCATTCTTCATCTTTTGCTCTACTATGAACTGTTGTACTAGAGATCCGTTCTGATACACGTCGTCAATCGTTTCCAGATATGCTGTTATATCACCTAGATATTTTTCGTTCTGAGACTGCTTTATTGACATCTTTTCTAATGTCTCTTCCCGAAACGATTGAACGTCCTTAACAATGGAAACTTCCAAGTCGTTAAACATTTTCATTACTTTATCCCGCATTTGCCGTATTTTTACTGGTATTTCTTTAGCATCTTCATCTAGTTTCTCTTTTGATGAGACAATGATGTCTACGATTTTGTAAGCCTTCTGTCTCACTTCCTCCACTGTAACCTTTAAAGTTGACTTTGTTTTTGTTGACCTTCTGGCGACCTTCAGAATTTCCACAATTCTGTGACATTTACGATGATTAAGAATGGCACAGGTACTGCAGCAGAGCTGATTCTCATCTTCACAGAAGAATTTTAGAACTTCCTGATGTTGATCACATTGATCTAATCCTTTCATATCAAACGAACCTTGTTTCGTTTTCACCTCATTCGCATTCACTAACTTGTGACTTTTTAAGAAGGCGTGAGTGTAGTGAACGTTGGAACAATCCAAGCACTGAAATTCGTTACAAGTTGGACAAAACTTGTCCGCTGTTCTTTGTAAAATGTTATTCAAACATGGTTGACACAAAATTTCCATTACTCGCCCCGAAACTTCACCATTACCCGCATTGTTTTCAGCCATTTTGATATAAAGTTATTGAACAAATGCAATGCCTATATACCTTTGGGTAATATATTGTACCTGGTTACTACTGGTACTATCTCTAGTCGGAATGCGAAAGTAAATATATTTATCTTATTCACTCGGATCCCTTTAGAATGTATGCCAATCAAACGTCCTAGGTTATTATCTATCCGATAACCGATCGAAGAATGAGGAAAGAGCCCAGTAGTTTCGATTGTATCATGCTTTCCCATCGAATTTTCGGGCCCCTTTTCCCTCAGGCTTTGGATAAGTATATTTTGAATAATATATTATGGCATTTTATTTTTATTGGGGTTGTTATTTTTTTTAATCGGGTTTTTAACGTTTTTTATATCGTTCTCCGCCATTTATAGGTTTTATATCTTGTTTGGCCATTAAGATAAAGATTGAGTGTTCTGGGTCGTGTAGGGGCTGCGTTCATTGAACGCCGCCTTTCCTCGTTGATCTTGTTTATCATATTTCAACATGATTATTAAATATTGAGTAGAATTATGTATGAAACGTATAATAAACAGGGCGATATATTGGTCTGTTTTTTTTTAACGGCATAAAGATATTAAACACATTTATGATAACACATATATATCAATATGAAAGAATGTCCTAGATAGATTCACTCTGTATCTGTTTGCTGTGTGACAATGATTATAGGTTATAATATCAAAGAATTTAAGGTCCGCAGTCATTATCTTTATTGAGATATATAGACAATCTTACATGTGAGTTTAATTAAAGTGATAAAATTCAAGATTGTGCCAAAAAAAATTCTTCAAATTACGAAAACTTTGGACAAAGTTAATATGACTCAGCATAAACATACGTTTTAAAAAAAAGATTCATTGATAATGAATAATTGTACTTCAGAATATGAAAGACTTTTCTAATTATTTTCATGTAAAGCCGTTTTGTTTAAACTTACTTTTTTACACTACGGATCAGCCTATCTTGCATTATTCTTAAAAATATTTACGGTCAATTTCAGCTATAGAAATTAGGAATATTTACATGTACATGCTATGAAATGCTGCTTAGATTCGTAGAATCATTACACACTGTTTCGATCATAAAGACCGTCCGATTAATTAATTAATTAATTAATTAATTAATTAATTCATTCATTCATTCATTCATTCACTCACTCACTCACTCACACAGTCACCCAAAATACATCCACCAACCCACCAACTCACTCACTCACTCACGCACGCACGCACGCACGCACTCACTCGCTCGCTCGCTCGCTCGCTCGCTCACTCACTCACTCACTCACTCACTCACTCACTCACTCACTCACTCACTCACTCACTTTCTCACTCACTCACTCATTCATTCATTCATTCATTCATTCATTCATTCATACAATCATTAATTAATTAATTAATTCATTCATTTATTCGTTCATTCAATTATTCACTCACCCACTGATTCATTCAATTATTTTAGACATGTATATTTCTGACGTGAAAACGAAGACAACCGTGGCAACAGGAAATCCAGAAATCCTGACTTCAGGAAACCATAGCAACAGCGCTGGTAGGAGGCAACAATAAACTATATAAATTTCCTGTTGTTTTTATAATGGACTGATCGTTTTTGGTATGAAATATGGAACGTAGCATACGAATTACATGCATGTATACTTTTTCATATGTAAAAATGTCAGCTTTTATAGCATATTGTGTTTTGAAATACTTGATCTGTAGACGCCGACTTTTTTAAGGCCCAATAAGCCTAAACATATTGTCAGTTTTATTTTTCATTTCTTATTTGGCGTCCAGTTACAAAAGTTTAGTCACTAGCAATATATCTGAGACAACTTTCGCTTCTTTTGTGTTTTAGCGATGAGTATATACAGTTATATAGTGATTTATTATTTTGTATGGAAGTCAAAATACGACTTTATTTATATTTAGCTACCTTTATGACAAATTGTTTCACATACAATGTTAGCTTCTCTGGTGATAGGCATTTAATATGTTCTACATACATTATTTCAACATTGAAAAACACATATTTGCCCTTCCACAGAAGGAAACAAATTTTTCGTTCTGAGGCATCTGCCAATAAAGGAACCGTACGCAGAAAAAAAGTACTCTAAATGTTCATTTCATAATTATCTTACTTACACATGTTATACACTATCATCTTATCAGGTTTTCATATTTGTAACAGGACCTGTGATTGGTCGCTTTTGCATGGACTTTGCCATAAAGAAAGCAAAAGAAGCCGGTATTGGTTGGGTGTCGGCACGAGGTATATCCTAACGCAAGTGAAACCAATAATAATGAAAGGCTAATATATATTAAGAATAAATATCCCCTTTTTAAATATTTCCTTTTAATTTTCATATAGTTGTGTATAGTAAATTTAAATGTAAATTTAAATATTTGATACAAACATGGAGCACATATAGTGAGATTATCTTTAACATGAAGTGACAATTTCTTACTAAAATCATCCTATTCTTTATTGCCCTGTTGTCATTTTATAAAATAGCCGCTACTTTTACATGTTATGTAAATGTCCTCCTTGATAGTTTATTCTATTTATTTCTGTTTCAATATTTTATATGTAACCGTTTTTGTCACAAAGCTCCTTTGATTTTTTAGCCGTCTATCTTATTTAGTTAATGAAATTACAGTAGTTATAATATTATCACAGAGATCAAAATAATTTCACTATTAACCTTGACCAGGATTGACCAGTTCTTTCCTATTTCACATGTGCCTTTTTAAAGGCCCATTATGCCCTAGAAATGCTTTTACTTTAATTTCCCAAAAGCCGTGATTTTGGTTTCCTGTTGTAGTTTCCAAAAAGTTAATCATTGGCCAGTTACCTAAACCATCTTGCCCTTCTGTATCGTTTTGGCAATTAGTAGATATAGAGATTTAGAGATTTAATATTTTGTATGAAGGTCAAATTATTACTTTATTTACATTTTGCTATATTTATGACAAATTATTTCACAATTATCGCTATATCATTCAGGCGATAAGCATATAACATGTCGTTAACTATTATTTTAACATTATAAAATTAATATTTCCATTTTCGGAAGAAGAAAACATTTTTTTAGGCAAAATGTGCCTTTAATTGAAATAATAAAAAGGAACAGTGACCCCAATGTCAGCTAATACTAAAAATATGAAAAACAGACAAACTTATTTAATCTTTTATTTAACAGGTTCAAATCATTTTGGAATTGCTGGATGGTATGGTCTGTGTGCATTAATGCACGGAATGATTTAAGTTGAACACATAAAGTACGGAAGCAAATTGATGCCATGTAATTTTGCAATTACTAATTGTCTTTATATATAGTTAGAAAATGACATCAAGTACATGTATTGAATGTAAGAGAAATTGCACAAAGTCTAATTTTGACACTGTTTTAAAAAGTTCAAAAGTTATTTACTATTAGAAAAACAAAACATAGCCAGGTGTCTCTCTATTGTAATAATTTAAAAAATGTTTAACAAGTTTTTTCTTTGTTATTGTTCTTTCGTTTCATCATAACTTTACATGAGATACAATCAAGGAAAATATGCTTTAAAATGATCTGTTTGACTTTAATACAAACACAACAGCTTAAATGTTTTAGTTTAACGAAATGTTATCGTATTAATCAGCTTAGATGTAGTATCGCACGATCATTCGGCCCCTTAAAATATTTTTAAGTGCGTATAATGTCAATGTTGAAGACAATAAATATTGTCTTTAACAGTTTTTATTCTCAACTCGACTCTTTCAGTTTGCATTCGAAATATTTAAGATATTTCATCAGGAAGATAAATTCCTCACGCACATAAAAGGATGCTCGCCAACTCGTTATCTAAAGTTGGTGATATAAAAAGATTTGGAACGTACATGACATGTCTTATATGGCTATACGTGTACATTGTTTAAGTTGTATATCTGTCTATGTTTTAAATATGCATAAATGAGACTATGCATAATAAAGAATATATATATGTCATTGCTTGCAGAAGTATGCAACTTATTAAATAATGCAGTAGAAACATCTTTCTGTAGTGATATTTTTTGTAAATATATGTATTCATTTTTATAGTCAAATAAACAGAAGTTGAGATAGATGCTAGCAAAGATCTGATTCTTATTAAAAAATATTATTGTAATATATTGGACAAATTCTTAATATTATTTTGATTTTGACGAGGTTTATTAGCATTATAACATTGATTCTTTAAAGCTTAACTCAATCTGAAAAAAAGAGAAAATTCCAAAGAAATTGTTTATACCATAGTTTTACATTGTATACGTCACTCCGTGTTTCTGTTGAATATTTTGTTTTCAGTGTTTTAAAGTGTCTCATCTTTCGCATTAGGTGATATAAACTGAAATTTTAAAGATAATTCAAACCATACCTCCTTAAAACACTGATTTCTCGGATTCGAGACTGACACAACAATAGAATAATTCTCTATAAAATGGCTTTCCGTTGATATACCCAAGCAAGCGTTTTATTTTTATGTGCTTACTCCCTTTTCTTATAATTGATTTCTTGATTGTTAAAGCATATTCGAATATGGTAACATCCTAAGCATACCTATAGAATCAATTAGCAGCTACGAATATGTTAATCAATCTACGCCCAACTTATTGATTTCATTTTTGATATTTTATTAATTCCTACCTATTACTTTTTTATTGTTGTGTGTAGTACATTACTACAAAACTTGAAAGTCGACAACATCAAACTCCATCTATTTCTCTATAGCGACCCAGTTCTTTCAGGAAATGCTAGTTTATTAATCAACGTTCATATTATTTTTATATTGAACATTCAAAATGATTTTTTTGACTCGTTTATAATTAAACTATCCAGCAAAAAAGATTCTTTCATCTAGTCATATATACATTACAATATCAGAAACAACTATAAAATACGAAATGAAAAAATAGTCTTATATTTGCGTAAAAATAATTTCCGCGAAAAAGAGAGAAGAAAATAACGAAAGAGAAATTATTAGATAAACTTTGAAACAAAAATTCATATAATTAACAAATTTGAAAAAAAGGAGTGTACCGTATCCATTTCGCCCGAAATATATGATTGTAGTACAAAACATCAATGCATTAGTGCGATGCAAAAGTAAATATGTAATATTTTAACCATATATACTATTGCTAAACAACAGTGAGAAAGGGAACAGAAGATTTGCTAGAAATCGCTTGTTTTGATGACACCGGTTATAAGAAATAACTACATACTCAATTGTTCTGATAAAAAACCTTTCTGATATATCATGGATTGCTTGTACACTTATTTACTATAAAACACTGCGTTTCGTCTCGTCAAAGTGAGCAAATGAAAAGATGTGCGCGTTCCGTTTAAAAAAAAAACGTGATATTGACACGGTCATAACTTTTAACTGACTAGAGGAAGTAACTCAAGCTAGGTGTTTTGTAAACTCCCCGAAGCAGTTATTTCCCCTGATCAATACATTCCATTTTTGTACATTAATGAATGTTTCGTAAAAATAACGAAAGTATTTTGTACGGTGTTCCGTTTGGACAATCGTGATTTTTCATTTCGTCCGTACCCGCGATGCAAAATGGTACGATGGTGAAAAAGAGATTGAAGCAATGTGGGTCTTTACATTTAAAGACTTCCTTAATATTCTCGCTTCTTTCAATTTTCAAAGTGAATTCAGGTGGGGACGCAGCTTTGGAGTGACATTATGCTCATATTTTTTTCGTTCACAAGTTGAATGCCTATGCTTCATATGTAATCTTCATAATTTATTTTTAAAAAATCTGGATTTTCCATTTTTATTTTGTTTTGAGTTTGATTTTTACTTGTTAAACGTTTATTTTTTAACAATGTGGCGAAATATGCCACACGCCATCTAAGAGTTGAACAATTTTATCTACAAAGTTGTAGACATATTAGTTCTACACAATCATATTATACATGATATAATGCGATGCAGATGAAATACCGCCGGTGTTCCGAGTGAAAACGTGTCTAACAATATAATTTTCACATAGATAATTATACTGATAAGAAGGTCATTTTAGAAGTTTTGAGTTTTATTTACACAGTTCATGTGAATACAGGTGCCATGTAATCTGGTGAGTATGTAATAATAATTTACTACTTATGAAATATATGAAAAAGCTTAAAGTTTTAATTTATGCTAAGCTAACAGATTATTTTAATTAACAGCAGCGTTTGTTTTTTAGATTATAAGTTCTTAGCTAAATATCATTACGTATATACCCGTATGTTGATTTTTAGAGCAGTTCTGACTGTTGATATTATTAGGTTATTATTCATTGTTGAATTCTGAATACTGAATTCTGTTGGAACAACTACACAGCTGTCAATCCTATATTGGATGAGCGGAGTCTAATATAGGTTTTGCAGCTATGTACGAGTACTACAGATTCGGCATTGCTCTCAACCATATATCACATAATGACGTACATATATGATTAAAACCATCAAATTTTTAACATTTTGGCAGAACTTTGATAATTTGAGTACAACAAGGAGTTGATATGATTTATGTGGACTCTGAAAATGAAAACGAGAACGAGGCTAAACGGTGTACAATATCGATTTAAAATCGATTTTTTTGGACTCGGAAAATAAGAAACGAATCTAGATAGGGTGCAATATAGATGCGATACATGTATGGTGATTTTTGTTTGTTTTGTTTTTTTTGTTTTTTACTGGCAAAATTAAATTGTTGCTAATTTGATAAGATTTGGTCAGATAATTATTTGTATAAAGAGACCACATGGCCCAAACGCTAAAAGTTCATTGATTACATTCTATAAGGGGTTAAAGATTGTATGTTTATGGCCATATACTCGATGTATTCTTGTGAATTCCAACAATAAGCTTTCTTAGTATTTTTTCGCTACAAAATGCGATACGCACTTTTATAATTTACGATGTGACAGTGCATATGTCAGTTAATTAACGCATACAAAGTTTGAACATTTTGGTCGCTTAGTTAACTGAGTTTATTAAACAATCTCACGTTGCTTTTGTTTTTTATGTATCCATAGTTATAAGTTTGTTTCGACCATAGTTAATTCATATAAGATCTTTTTTCTTATATTTGTCTTTATTTTATAATATTGTACGGTTTACTATTTGATAATTGTTGGGGCATATTACTGAGCACACTGTCTAACAACAATTTAATGCACGGAAGAGTTAAAACTATTCTCTAATAATTATCATCATCATCAACAACAACATCATCTATAGCATTACC